ATTTCGGATGAGAACCTAATTTTTAGCTTTAAAGCTGTAAAGCATTAATACTTTTTTTTTTCCAAAAAAAGATTTTGAATTGTGGCTTTATTGATTGTATGTGTTTCAAGAATCAACTTTCTTCTGCCAAATTGCATTAAGCATATGTAGAATACTCAGCAATTAATGAGAGAATCAACATGACAATTTTGAATTACATCACTCATATGTATCTTGGAAAATTCCCCACATTTCTGCACAAGATGCAATATGTGTGTGGCAGAATTTCCAATGGTTAATTAAGTTTGATTATTGATTTACGAAGATGGTATCCAATGCCTTGAAGAGAAAGCAAAGAGAATAAAGTTAGTATAAAATTTTACACACATGATTATGATTTGAGCAAAGAATAACAAGTGACTTTCTTTCTTTGAAAAGGAATAACACTGTAGATTTTCTTATTCTTTTATCTCCAATCTGATTCTACCCAAAAAAGAATCAAGAGGGGCTTTTTTCTTTTTCCTACTTCGTTTTTCCTTTTACACGTAATTGGACATTATTTTATATGAAAGTGTACACAATTTGATGAGTTTTTAGATGCTTATTTATTTATTTTTATAAAATATCAAATTTAGCTAAAATTTTGATATTGTTTTATGTTTTAGTTGTAACATTTAGCCAAAATATCATAAATCATTTTACTAGATTATTATTCTTTAATTCTCAGAAGAAATTTTTTTTAACGCAATTATTTGATAATCGACACTATGATTATGTTTGGTACGGAATATTAAAAATGAGGGATAAGGATGTGGATTGGAGTTGAAAACATGTTAAAAAGATGCTTAGCATGAGTGATTTCTTATCACATGGGATTAGGCAATCTCATACAGATATGATTGGAGAATATCACCTCCCTTCATGATATTCTCCAATCCCACATATATGGGTTTAATTTGTCTAATCCCAAGTATTATACAATTACTCATACTAAACACATTTTTAATTAATATAGTTTTACACTTTCAATGTCAATTCCTATTCCTCATTTTTTAATGTTACGTACCAAACGAGACCTACTACATGTATTATTCGAGTGAGGAAGAGGCATTTTTCCAAATTAACCATATGCATGCTTTATTCCTAAGAGGAAAAAATTTTTGAGTGAGGAACAAGAATCCCTTCTTTCTGTACCCCCAATCCTATATATAAGTAATATTTTCTCACATGGGATTGGTTCTATATATGTGTTTTTCTTAGCCATGGGTTCTATATAAAAGTATTACTTTGTGTTTGTCTAAAAATATAATGTTTTTTTTTAACTTTTATTTTCAACTAATTGCATGTCTCTCTCATTTCTTTTTTCTCCTCATTCTTTCTCATGTCTTTTCCTAATTATTCTCTCTCATTCATCATCTTCAAAAATAAGTGTACAATTGGAAAAAGAAATTACATCTCTTACAGTTATATTCATAAATGCTGTGATTAAAAATTCATTAATCATTTTTTTGGGAATTTGATCAAGTTAGTTAATTAATCATGCATGCTTTAACCTTCCCACAAACCGAAAGACAAAATCTGTTTCAATTTCAACAGGGAATCAGCCCACAAAAACATAATTACAGAAAGACCAAATCTTGTGTATTTAGAGAATCTGCCCGCAGACACATGACCGAATCTAATCAAGGTCTTATCCACAAAATTTTTAATATTAATTTTTAGCATGTGCATTTTAGCTACGAATGACAGCTGGAAACCTATACTTCGCGATGAGCTTATTTATAAACTCCATTCTCTGCAACTTCCAAACTGACCAGAACTTCTTCCTTCATAATAATATGGCTAAGATTTCTGCCAGCCCACTTCTCCTTCTCATCAGGTTTTGTCTCCCGGCGATCTCTATTATATCTCCTTCCTTATTTATATGCGTTCGTGTTTATATAGCTTCTTGCGTATACTGAAGATATATATATGTATATTGTCAATGGTGCAGCAGGAGATGTTGCAGAGTTGCGGCGGAGAATGGGAGGATGGGGGCAGCTGAGACGGCGGCCAGGAAGGACGCCGGAGATCAGACAGTGAGCGGTGTTGGCGGTGCGAAAGAGAGAGCGTTTTGGATGAGAGATCCAAAGACCGGAAACTGGATTCCTGAGAATCACGTCGGAGATACTGACGTTGCTGAGCTGAGGAACAAGTATCTGTCCAACGCACATAATAAACTCACTCAAACCAAACTTGATTAGGCTAACAAGTGACATGAACCTATCAAATTCTTGGATTCTGTATCTGTGGCTCTTAACACTTCCATAGTTATCTATAGACTTCCTTCGTCACCTTGAGAAACTAGCCGTCTGCTATGTTATGAGCAAATAAGTAGTGCAAGACTAGAGCATGAATATAAACACATTACATATGTATTATTCCGTAGTAAATCGCAAAATCTCTATATAAATATATACTTTTATATGGTTGGCAGAAAAGGATCATAATAACTTCTTTTTGTTATTCCTTTTTGATGAATTAATGCATATGTATTTTGCAGCATACAATTTAATTTCTTTGAGACGAATGCGTAGTTATATTAAAAGAAAAATATTCGAAAGAAAGGGTTGACATGATGTCTGTTGATAAGAAAACGTAAGAAAATCATTTGAGGTGAAGAAGAGGGTAAATTAGATTTAGTATGGAGTTTTTTAGAAAGAGGTAGAGAAAGATCCAAGAAAAATACTCAATAAGTTATAGAGTAAGACTTTTTGGTTAACATACAAAAAAATTTGACTATTAATAAAGTACAATGATATGATGCAATCTGTATAGCGAATTCCACGGATAATAAGAGGGTTTTGTTGTTATAATGATGCTGCTAGGCTATTATTTGTATAGGTTGTATCCTGTTGATCCTTTTTTCGGAAAAAGAAAACCCCTAAGGAGAAGGAATAAAAAGTATTAGGTAAGGGTGTTCATGAAGCTCATTTGCTTGCTATGCCTGCTCAAGCCCCCAAAAAAAGCCCAATCCGCCTTAAAAAGAATGGTCCAAAAGAACTATTAGACATGTTTGGGTTGGGCAACTTGTTGGGCAGGGCTAGACATTGGGCACAGTATGCTGCCCTGCTCATTTGGCCCTGCCTACAAAAATATATATAATTTTATTTATATATATATTTTTTGCCTCATATTTATTTCCTGAATCAAATATATTATTGCATCAATATTCAGTGTTCATTATACTTATTTATTTTTGAATGATTTTGAGAGTTAGAAACTAGAAAAACAATTAAGTTTAATAAAATATACAAACAATTTTTTTTTTGTCATATTCCACTCTTCCTAGCTACTACAAAAAGTAGTTTCATAGTATATTAATTAGTAATAACAAAATTAAGGCCAAGTTGCCATTTTAATATAAAGTTACATTAGATTATTTAGAAAGACATAAATAATTAGTTAATTAATATAATATATTGACTTGTTGGCATAAAAGCCCGCCTAGCCCAGCCGCATTTGCCTAGCCCGAATTTAACAGGGCTTTTCATGGCCAGGACCGGACAACATGTTGCATTTTTCAGCCCGTTTATTCTTCGGGCTGGGCATCGGGCCAGAGTTCTGCCCTGCCCTGCCCTGCCCATATGCAGTCCTAGTTTTAGGTAGCTAGGTACAATGAAAGGGTTGAAAAGTTTAAAAAACGAATGAGCATAAGGAAACATGTGTATATAATAGGTATAGTCAAACATGAAAGCAACAAGTAATTAATAACGAAGAGGAGTAGGTGTTGGATCATGGATGTTTCACCACTGCGCGCTGAGAATGGAACCTTATTATTAGAGGCAGCAAAATATATTCCATGACTGAAAACTGCTAAGTTATACTCCTAACACAACTTTGAATGAGGCACATCCCTCCTTATCTACATACGTTGTTAGAATAATGCAAATGTTTTGTTATATATGCCTCTCCTAATACTTAATATAAGATCTAGTTTGTAATTCAATTTGAATTATAAACTAGAACTTACGTTAATGATCAGTGATAGTAGTATAAACTGACCCACTAGTCATGTATAATATTCGATTGTTATACCTTCAATTTTTTTTCCTACTCATAAGTATTCTCTTATTAGAGACAATTCTATTCAAAGTACTATCTACCACTAGATGTAGGTATTTCTCCTGGTACGAATTTGAACCTTTGTTCGTTCTATTGTGAAGGACTATTTTCTTTTATTAGACCAACTTCCATTGGTGTTATATCTTCAATTCTGCTTTCAAGAAAGCGAATAAATGCATTGATTGGCTTGCTCGCAATGCCTATCTTCACTACCTCTTTTAGCGACACCACTATACCCCTTAGAGCCAATTTTGTTCCTTATTAATTCTTAACAGGATTCAAATTAATTATTTCAAACATATATCTTTCATAATTATAACTCTGTCTCTCTTTCTCTTATTACGAAGAAGAATACTTGACTCTATAGAATTTTATGGCAAGTTTCTTTTTATAAAATTAAGATTACTGACTGATTTTAATAATTTTTTTTCCAAATTTATGTGATTCAGTTAAGAGGATTTTGTGAATAATAGGATTAGTACACTCCTACTTATTGTTTTGAAAGTGCATACGTACCATCTCATTAATATACTCATGATATGTGCCATCTCAATTCTAAAGCATAATAATAAAACACTATATATTAAGCTCTGTATTACCATTTCATATAAAAGTTTCGTTAAACGCATGGGAATATACATGAGATATATATAAGTCTATCCAATCAATAAGGATAATGTAATGTAATTAAGAGAACAAAAACAGTATCTTCCTTCAGCAGCTATTCTCTGAGAGAAGGAAACAAACGTTTGCATTTTTTTAAAATATTTTTAAGAACAAAACACTAATAAAATGGAGTTGATATAATATTTGGTCCTTCAAGTTGTTCTCATTTTGGTTTTAGTCCCTCAAGTTTCAAATTATAGATTTTAGTTCTTAAAAAGATAAAATAGACTAAGTTTTTATTGAATTATATAATGACTGTATGTTTGATACCTTGTCTATATCTCATTGTTGTCTCTTTTTTCTGAGATTAGTCTGTCAGTATGTACTCTTCTCTGGATGCTGGGGGCACTAGGCAATGAAAGTGCCTTTATAACCAGCTCTCTCGGTACGTTAACATTTGGTGTCCTAAGTTGGCCAACTTTTCTGCTTTAATTTACCAAAGAAAAGATATTGTTTGGAATTGATGCATTGTGAAAAGAGAAATATTATGGATTCCGAATTAATATATGGTGTAATACTAATTTGGAATTTAGGTTTTGTAATTTAGGAGAAATAGTTTATTAATTTTAGGTTTAGTTGTTTTAGTAAAACGAACCAAAAAAACTTTTAGCCAACTGTACGATTATAATATATGTGTGTGTGTATCCTTTCTCTTGACTTATAATCTTTTAATTTTGTTGTTATCCATAAAAGCAAATAACTCCTAGACTTTGAAAACTAAAAATTAAATTCACAGTTGACGAAGTAGGTCTTTTTGTCTAATTCTATCTTAATGGACTTAACTTATCTGCCACCATTAACTTCCTGAAGTCAACGTGTCAAGCTCCCATCTCCCCCAGTGTCAGCTTGGCCGATTTAGGGTGCTGAGAGCCTAAAGGGCTTTTGATACTATGGCCCCAAAAAATGTGGCTTATGAGATAACATGGTTGATGGAAAATGAGCATGACTTATTTCCTGAAGTGTGAAATTTGGGGACCTCATTTCTGATTTTGAAAGTTCAGTGTATTATTTGCGAGTCACCTCGAGCTCAAGGGGGCTTCTTGCATTTCTGTCCCTTGATTGATTAAAAAGCTTTGGTAATGGTTCCAGAAACTAGTTGAGAATCCATGTGATGATCTGATGTTATTTTTTTCCCCAATGTTAACTAGCTATAACATGTGACAGCTAAAGCTATTTGTATAATTTATCTTGTTCTACAGGGCGTTGGAAATACACTCAAAAGGCATTATGAAACTTACCTTCTAGAATATGAATTAGCACATGATGATGTGGATGGAGAGTGCTGCTTGTTGTGTCACAGGTTTTTCTTCTCCCTTTTCCTTCAGTCATGTTTTGTCATGGTGTTGCCTTTTTGCCATTGCATGCAGATTGTTTTCTCTTAAAACCCCCTTCCATGTTGAATGTTGAGGTTATCAACTTTCATCTAATTTATTCTTTTGTCATGACTCATGACCGTAACTAGAGGATGTCACTATAGTGGAAATAGCTGTACAATTAGTAGTCGCACTTATTCCCATTTTGTGTAAATCTTTGCTTAAAATTTTTGAACTGTTCAACAGTAGTGCAGCTGGGGATTGGGTGAATTGTGGCATATGTGGCGAGTGGGCCCACTTCGGCTGTGACAGACGGCAAGGTCTTGGCGCATTTAAGGTACTGCCTTAATTATCTTTGTTGCCAATGAATAGTCTGATGCCATCCTGTGTGAAGAAAATTGACTTTCATGACTCCATGACCTTTTTCCTTCATGTTAAGGATTCATCATATTTCGTTCACAACTTGTGCAGGATTATGCAAAAACAGATGGACTGGAATATATTTGTCCTCATTGTAGCGTAACAAATTTCAAGAAGAAACCCTCAGGTGTTGCCAATGGGTTTTCTCAGGGGTCAACGGCATCAAAACCCTTTTGATATACTTCTGCTCTCCCTCCCTCCATTAACAAGCCTTAGTAGCTCCTTCTTGTGTTGGAATTATCTGTAACCATTATGTTCTATATAGATTATAGGATTTTAGGGGAAAAATGAGAATTAGGTCTTAACTCGTAAGCAATACTGATTTCATTAGGAATAGGCTCCTCCCCTCTCACATCCCCACCTCCAATTATTATTGTCATTTTTTAGTCCTTAGGTTTGAAGTTCGCTGTATCGAACTGCGACGGCTCTTGAATCCCATCGAGGGCTCCAATGATTAAGGACATATGAGGCCTATGTTGGTGAATTTGCTGACATGTTGTAACATAATCATGTAACAAATGACAAGTCTTCCCTACTTTATAGCGGACCTGTGCATATATTATTATTCAGTATATCTATGTTTTGGCATTTTTTGTTTATAAAACAACCTTGTTAAGTGGAATTTTAGTCTATACAAATTCAGAAACTTGGTTCGTAAATTTGTCAGGGGATTCCAAGTATTGTGGATGTTTTATTGGCCTTAAAACCTCTGATTGAAAGCATTAAGCAATAACAGGATGCTGCAAGCAGCGAGTTAATTGAAAGGGATACCTCACCATTTCAAAATGGTTTAACTACGATTAACTCATTTTTCTCTCAATCTCCCCGTAATGACAAGTCAGTGGCTTTTTTTTTTTGGGGGTCCTCCCATCGTCGGATTCTGAAAAAAATAACGGCTTTTATAAGTAGTGGTCAGTGTATGAAATCTGGTCTAAAATTTTCAGAAATTAAGTTCATTAGACAAATTTTAGTGTCAATTATATACAATAACCCCCAGATGAGTTTATTAAGAAAAACGTTTGTACATTCCGGATTTAAGTGAATGAAATAAATTTTAAAATTGAAGATTTGGCAAATGTTGGATCACTACAAGAAAAGCAACTATATTACTAATATCTACGCCATATTACAATTTGATCATGGAAAAGTTGACAATGATGGTGGTTATGTCCGAGAAAAATACGCAATATGTGGTTTTCTGCTGGATTTTGTCTCCAAAATCCAAGTTATGATGAAGAGAGCCCTTCGTATGAATGTATTCACCCATGCTTCCAAGCATAGCAATTTGACTTTTTTTAACTAAAAAAGTACATTTAGGCATACAATTAGTTTTTAAATCATTTTCCCCGTGTTAAAGTGATACAAATAGCATTTTTCTTTTTTCTTTTTGGCAAGATATTAGGAGTATCTCTTACATTGAAGACAAATTTCTTTCAAAAGTACAAGGGTGAAGAATAGCTAGATGCTTCCTAATTAGATTTATTCCATACATAAAAGATTAGGAATCAAACCAATCTTTTTTGTACTGTTAAGGGCTAAAGATACATGCCTGTTTTTTAATTAGGTTAGTTTTATGTATAAAAAAACCTAATCATTCACATGATCAAACATTAGTTTGGTGATGCATTTAATGTTTTGTTCTCAAATCACACTGCTTAGATGAATTAAATATAGGTTAATGAAAATAATCATGTTCTATCAGTTGACTTGGACGCATGAGAAAACTGTTTCTGTGAATATAATTTCGGATGAGAACCTAATTTTTAGCTTTAAAGCTGTAAAGCATTAATACTTTTTTATTTCCAAAAAAAGATTTTGAACTGTGGCTTTATTGATTCTATGTGTTTCAAGAATCAACTTTCTTCTGCCAATTGCATTAAGAATATGTAGAATACTCGGTAATTAATGACAGAATCAATATGACAATTTTGGATTACATCACTCATATGTATCCCGGAAAATTCCCCACGTTTCTGCAAAAGATGCAATGTGTGTGTGGCAGAATTTCCAATGGTTAATTAAGTTTGATGATTGATTTACGAAGATGGTATCCAATGCCTTGAAGAGAAAGCAAAGAGAATAAAGTTAGTATAAAATTTTACACACGTGATTATGATTTGAACAAAGAATAACAAGTGCCTTTCTTTCCTTGAAAAGGAATAACACTGTACATTTTCTTATTCTTTTATCTCCAATCTGCTTCTACAAAAAAAAAAAAAAAACTCTAATAGTAACAAGAGGGCTTTTTTCTTTTTCCTATTTCGTTTTTCCTTTTACACGTAATTGAACATTATTTTATATGAACGTGTACACAATTTGATGAGTTTTTAGATGCTTATTTATTTATGTTGATAAAATATCAAATTTAGCTAAAATTTTGATATTGTTTTATGTTTTAGTTGTAACATTTAGCCCAAATATCATAAATCATTTTACTGGATTATTGTTTAATTCTCAGAAGAATTTTTTTTTAAAGCAATTATTTGATAATCGACACTATGGTTATGTTTGGTATGGAGTATTGAAAATGAGGGATAAGAATTGGGATTGGAGTTGAAAACATGTTAAAAAGATACTTAGCATGAGTGAGTTCTTATCACATGGGATTAAGCAATCTCATACAGATAGGATTGGAGAATACTACCTCCCCTCATGGTATTTCCCAATCCCACATATATGGGTTTGTCTAATCCCAAGTATTATACAATTACTCATACTAAACACCTTTTTAATTAATATAGTTTTACACTTTCAATCTCAATCCCTATTCCTCATTTTTTAATGCTGCGTACCAAACGAGACCTATATGTATTATTCGAGTGAGGAAGAGGCATTTTTCCAAATTAACCATATGCATGCTTTATTCCTAAGAGGAAAAATTTTTTGAGTGAGGAACAAGAATCCCTTCTTCCTGTACCCCCAATCCTATATATAAGTAATATTTTCTCACATGGGATTGGTTCTATATATGTGTTTTTCTTAGCCATGGATTCTATATAAAAGTATTACTTTGTGTCTGTCTAAAAATATAATGTTTTTTTTACTTTTATTTTCAACTAATTGCATGTCTCTCATTTCTTTTTTCTCCTCATTCTTTCTCATGTCTTTTCCTAATTATTCTCTCTTATCCATCATCTTCATAAATAAGTGTATAATTGGAAAAAGAAATTACATCTCTTACAGTTATATTCATAAATGCTGTGATTCAAAATTCATTGATCATTTTCTTGGGAATTTGATCTAGTTAATTAATCATGCATGCTTTAACCTTCCCACAAACCGAAAGACAAAATCTGTTTCAATTTCAACAAGGAACCAGCCCACAAAAACATAATTACAGAAAGACCAAATCTTGTGTATTTAGTTTGTATATTAGAGAATCTGCCCGCAGACACATGACCGAATCTAATCAAGGTCTTATCCACAAAATTTTTAATATTAATTTCAGCTTGTGCTTTTTAGCTACGAATGGCAGCTGGAAACCTATACTTTATGAGCTTATTTGTAAACTCCATTCTCTGCAACTTCCAAACTGCCCAGAACTTCTTCCTTCATAATAATATGGCTAAGATTTCTGCCAGCCCACTTCTCCTTCTCATCAGGTTTTGTCTCCCCGCGATCTCTATCATACCTCCTTCCTTATTTACATGCGTTCGTGTTTATATGGCTTCTTGGGTATACTGAAGATATATATACATATATATATATATATATATTGTCAATGGTGCAGCAGGAGATGTTGCAGAGTTGCGGCGGAGAATGGGAGGTTGGGAGCGGCTGAGACGGCGGCGAGGAAGGAAGCAGGAGATCAGACAGTGAGCGGTGTTGGCGGCGCCAAAGAGAGAGCGTTTTGGATGAGAGATCCAAAGACCGGAAACTGGATTCCTGAGAATCACGTCGGAGATACTGACGTTGCTGAGCTGAGGAACAAGTATCTGTCCAACGCAGATGATAAACTTACTCAAACCAAACTTGATTAGGCTAACAAGTGACATGAACCTATCAAATTATTGTGTCTTCCTTAATTAATTACCATTTTCGTTCTTGGATTCTGCATTTATGGCTCATAACACTTCCATACTTATATATAGACTTCCGTCTTCGCCTTGAGCCACTAGCCATCTGCATTGTTATGAGCAAATAAGTGTAAGACTAGAGCATGAATATAATCACATTACATATATATTATTCCCTAGTAAATCGCAACATCTCTATATAAATCATGTACTTTTATATATATGGTTGGCAGAAAAAGATCATAACTTCTTTTTGTTATTTCTTTTGAATTAATGCATATGTATTGTGCAGCATGCAATTTAATTTCTTTGAGATGAATGCGTATATAGTTATGCAAAAAAAGATAAGATTTGAAAGAGAGAGTTGATTTGATGTCTACTGATGAGAAAACATTAGAAAATCGTTTGAGGTTATTTGGACATATCCAAGAAAGGTTGTTGGAGGTGCCGGTGATGAGAAGGGTATAGATTGGGAAAATTAAAAAAAAAAATCCTTGTTGAATTTTAAAATGATCAATAAGCCATGCTGATTACTCTTGTAATAGTTTTGATATGTCAAAAACTGTCGAAATCACTTATCATTTTGAAAATTAGGTTTAGTATGGAATTCTTTAAAAAGAGGTAGAAAAAGATTAAAAAAAAACACTCAAAGAAGTTAGAGTATGACCTTTTGGTTAATGTATATCAAAAATTTTGACTATTAATAAAGTACAATGATATTGTGCAATCTATGTAGCTGATTCCACGGATAATAAGAGGGTTTTGTTGTTATAATGATGCTGCTAAGATAACCCCTAAAGAGAAGGAATAGAAAGTTTTAGGTGGCTAGGTACAATGAAAGGGTTGAAAAGTTAAAAAACGAATACGCATAAGGAAACATATATGTGCATATAATAGGTATAGTCAAACACGAAAGCGACAAGGAATAACAAAGAAGATTAGGTGTTGGATCATGGATGGTTCACCACTGTCCACTGAGATATGGAACCTTATTAGAGACAGCAAAATATATATTCCATGAATGAAGAAAGCGTATGTTATACTCCTAACACAACTGTGAATGAAGCGTCCCCTTTTATTGGCTCTCTCATTTCAGTATCAGAATCCAACTTCATTGTTCCAAACAACATCCCTCCTTCACTTCTATACAATTATCTCCATACGTTGTTAGAATAATGCAAATGTTTTGTTATATATGCCACTCTTGATATTTAATACAAGATCTAGTTTGTAATTCAATTTGAATTATAAACTAGAACTTGTGTTCATCATCGGTGATAGTAGTATAAATTGGCCCACTAGTCATGTATAATATTGGATCGTTATACCTTCAATTTTTTTTTTTGCTATTCATAAGTATCTTCTTGTTAGAAACAATCCTATTTGAGACATTATCAGGCATTAGATGTGAACATTTCTCTTAATGAAGACTTAAACTTTAGTTCGCCACATCGTGAAGAACTATTTCCTTCCATTAAACTCAATCTCTATTGATGTTATGTCTTCAATTTTGCTTTCAAGAAAGCAATCAAATGCATTGATTGGCTTGCTCGCAATGCCTATTTTTGAGAGACTCCTTCTATAAGGAACCAATTTTGGTGCTTATCATTTTGATGAGCACCATAAACTCATCAGATCTGGATCATCTATATCTCATTTGGATAGTCCAAATTTGATTTCTTTTTATTTTTATTTATTCAAAATAATTATTTTAATATGTATAGAATCTAAAATAGAGATAATCTGTTAACTGTCATTCTTTCAAAAAATAATTTTTTATTTAAAAATAATAAATTAAAAATTTTAAATCTAAACCGTTCAAATCATATATAGACAGTTTAAATTTGATAAGTTTAGGGTGCTTATCGAGATGACGAGTATTGAAACTGGTTCCTCTTCTATAATCTTGTCATCCTACCGTTTCTCGGGATCTTACAGTCCCAAAAAAAGGGGACATAAATTGGCTGACTCCAATTACTTACTATTTTCTTTAATTAATTATGAAGTTCTTTTCTATTGATTAAGCCATTTTGAAGAAGCTCACCACAGAGTTCGTGGTGAGAATGAGTCAGACCTTCTTGATGTAATTCCCAAGTTGGTATGAATTAATGTTCTGATGAAAGTTATGAGAAATTAGTCATTAGCTAATAGATACCGTAAATGGGAAGTAAAAAAAGGAGCAGAATTTTTTTACTTAACTGTGTTTCTCTTTCTCTTGTTACGAAGAAGAATACTTCACTTTAGAATATTATAGTAAGTTTTCTTTATATAAAATTAAGATTACTAACTGGCTTTTTAATTAATTTTTTTTAAAATTCATGTGATTCAGTTAAAAGGATTTTGTGAATGATTAGGATTAGTATACTCGTAGTTATGGTTTTGAAAGTGCAAACGCACCATCTCATTAATATACTCATGATGTGTACCATCTCAATTCTAAATCATAATAACAAAAGAGCTATATATTAAGCTCTGTATTATTATTTCACATATAAAAGTTTCGTTAAAGACATGGGAATATAAATGAGATATATATATATATATATACACGTATGTATATGTATATAGATAAGATCATCCAATCAATAAGGATAACGTAATGGAATTAAGAGAACAAAAACAGTATCTTCCCTCAGCAGCTATTCTCTGAGAGAAGAAAACAAACGTTTGCATGTTTTGATATTTTTAAGAAAAAAACACTAATGAATATATACAAGTTTGTTCTGATCTCTCTAGCTAATGTAAGGTACCCAATACTTTTTTCCAACTAAACATCACATGACTGAGTGCAAATTTTATCCCTTTTTTTTTGGGGGGGGGGTTTATATATACAGTTACATTTTACAGTTGATGAGGCAGTAAGCTACAACAAGCCCCATGATAAGAGAAAGGTCTATGTTTGGTTCCACTACCATTGACACAACATCTTCTCCCAAATCAACTCCGCAGCTTGCCTTCTTTCTCCTTAACTGCTCATAAATAAGTATAGAAAAACATATATAAGCTAGGGTTAATAATGACACATATTTTTATATAAAATCGGGCCTTTCTCTATCTAACTATATTACCTCTGCTACAAGCCCTCCAAACTGATCTGAGATTTTGCAGAAAGATGACTTCCATGTGCTGCATTCTATTCTGTGAGAATATGGCTGGTTCTTTTCCAGTCCAAGCTTAACTTCGTACGTCAAAGCTTCTCTGTGAATCCTGTTACCTTTTGATCTGACCCGAAAGTTTGGTTCTTTCTGGTCATTACTGGATCTGAAACCCTCCCAAACCCTAGAAAACTTGTATTTCTACCAAAAACAAAAGACAAAGAAATTGATGAGTCTATCATTATTAGTTTTGATAATATATATGTGATATATTATATAGGACCAAAGCTACGATATGTTGTACCTTTCTTAGTATGGTAAACAAGACATTGCCTTTTTGATCCATGAGAAAAACTTCATCTGCGCATCTGATATCATAATTATCAACACGAAACACAATTTGGCCTTGCGAATCAAAGACAGTACATCCATTTCCATTTAGTATCAGAGACTTCATCCATATGGTGAAAGTTTCTTGCTTGGAAGTGAAGGGGCAAGTCGTTTCAAAGGAATGAAAGGGATGAACTTTTGCCATCTGATAATGTTCTGCAATATTATCAGACCATGGTAGTGCCTTTTATATGCTGTGTAAAGCTATATAGAGAGCCCCATGCTGAATCATATATCTTAATGCAAGATAATGCAAAACCTACCCTTGTTATTATCTTTATCTAGCAAAACACATAGAAGAATTTGTCTCAAATGGGTATTTTTATTTTAAATTGCTTGTCCTTTTTCTTCAAAAAGAAAATCAAACAATGACTTAAAAAATGCAGACTTGTGATACTAATTTCTTGGAACACTCTTTGCCTTATGTCATATTGGATGAGCATGAATTTCAGATTAGATGGTTCCTTAGATTATAAGTTGCACGTTAAAAAGTGATGCAACATAATGATCAGAATGTACAATTATGGTTTACTCTATTATTTAATAATACTAATGATATAGCCATATAATATTTCATGAAATTAAATCCATAAATTTTTAAGCATTCTTCCGAGTCAAAGTGGTATATCTCTTCAATTTGTTATGATATACCACCAGATTCATGCATTTATATCATTTATGCATATTGAAGTGAAAGAGTAGGTATTGGGATATGCTAATTAATATAATTATTTTGGTTTAGAGCTAGAGAGATAAGGTTCCTCAGCCACCCATTTGATTTAATTTCCACCTCCCGGGACATTCTTCTCTGCTGATATATGGGAATCTGAATTGAATATTATACCAAACTAACTTTATTTAAATTATTAACCATATCTTCATTTATTATTTACATTAATTAATTAAAAAATTCTCAAAACATTGATTAAACAATGCTCCGGTTTAATTTCAATAATATTTCTAATGCGATCAGCGCTTCAGCTCCAAATAATTATCGTTTGGTCTGGAAGTTAAAAGGAAAGACAAAAAGTGACATTACAAAATCAGATTCTCCAAATAAACTTGGAAAATACGAATGGAGAAAGAAGAAAGAAAAACCTATATGCCCTCCTATTGTCTCTCTCTTTCTTTCTTTCTTCTTGCTCAGGTAAGTAATGTTCATGTTATTTATACAAGTTCAAATTCCCTCTGTAACTAATGAATGAAGGTGAATAAGGGAAGGTTATATGTCAATTTTGTGAGAAATAAGTAAACGACGTCGTACATACAGCTGGAAAGAATAATTATTTTTGCAACCAAATCATTTTGTTGGCATTAATTAATAAGATAACATATGCTGCCTTCTGAATTCAATTATTCAAACACTAACACCCTTGCCTTCGTGCCTCCTTCATGTTATCTTAGCCTCTAGAGTCTATAAATATATCTACAATCAACATCATCATTATTTCACTCATAAAATTATTAAAAACTTACTATTCATAAATTATATAATTAGTAGAAAAAATTGTAATAATAAGTAAGTAGCATATATCATATTATCATTTTAAGATCACATAGTGATTTTTCTTTTTTCTTTTTTTGGTTATACTTTACTCAATAGAAGAAACTCGAGTACCTATTATAGTGCACTTACATCTACAAAGAATAGAGCAAGCAAACTCATACTTGTTTAAGATGTTAAATGTCAATTGAGCGACCCTGTAAATTAATCATAATCATACATGTCAGCATAATATATAATGTGTATTTTCATATCCAAGTTCAATAGTATTTTACTAATCCCCAACAAAATGTTCACCATTCTAATGTTAACGTGTCAATGTCAATTACTGAATAATTATATAGTGAAGTTATATTTGAATTTTAAATAATTGAGCTTGAATAATTCTTGAACTACTTAATGCTTATCCATCCATACCTCCATGCTGAATTTCCCTTTTTTTTAAAATACAATAGAAGTAGGTAAAATTATCTTTAAATACTCTTTAAGTTCTCAATGTAATAGGTTCGTCAAGAAATTTATTTGAATTATAAACCTAAGATTTTAATCTATTTTTATCTTATATTTACTCTCCAATTTTTTTATATAATAGTTAGGTAACCAATTTGTAAAAATTAAAAAAACTAATTAAATTAGTTATTTGTAATAAATATGTTGTGTTTTCTTAAAAATATTTTTGTTAATCGTATACATTAGAATAATTCTTATAATGATCATAGGTATTATGTGAGAATAAAATAGATAAGTATGGGAGTAAAATTCAATTTCCAATTAGCTTTTATGTTAATGACTTGGAAATAGCATAATTTTTTACCAAACTAATTTATCTAATTTATAAACTCATATAATCTAATTATTAATGTCATATAAGAATATTTTAGGAAGAATATGATAAACATTTAGTAGGATAAATGACTTATTTATTTCCTAAAATTTATTGAAGTTAGGCAAGCAACTGCTACTATTACATTAAGAATCATTGGTTCAAAAAAAATAAAATGAAAATTTAGTGTGGATCAACGACTATTAGCTGCGAAACAAAAAATAAATAAAAATAAAAACGACCATGCGGCCACGTCAGCAGTCTCTCGTTCTGGGTCACGCGAATTGGGAAGGGAACACCAACGACTATTAGCTGCGAAACGGAAAAACGATGGAAGAAAAAGAGAACGGAGAGTCATCACTCAACTCCCACAAACACCAACATTTCTAATGATTTTTTTGTTTTAATTTCCCAATTCTATACAAAAAATAAAAATTCCCATACATTACCTTGGATGCGTTGCAATTTATTCATAAGATCACCAATCCCAAGCTTCTTCATTGATTGATGTTCTTCTGAATATTCATATTTTGGATGAACCACGTCGGAAGTGGATGATTCATGAATGATCGCGATCCAGAATTGAAGCTTTCTTGATCATTAATATTAAAAAAAGATCGTTTCTTGGTCCGTTTTGTTTCCCAATATTTTATCCGTCTTTCTGGTTCGGGTCTCTCTCTGAGCTTTCGGTGCAGAGGAGTCTGTTAACTGCGAGGCGCAAATCTTGTTTGTATTCTTTGTGCCTTAATTCAACCAAGAACAAAACATTGTTTGAGATTTGAGCGGGAATTTTGATCAGCATTTTATGGGATCCTGCTTGAAAATCTCGTGTTTGATCACCAGGAGTCTGTCTGATTGGTTCATTACGTTGTTTAAAACCACAGGTTCAATCTTGTTTATCTCCTTACCTTCTCCATAACGAGGACAAGTTAACGGTGGTGCGGGGAGTGATCGAAGACGACGGATGAATGTGACCATTTCAATTGGCATTGTCTAAGAAGCGTGTCTGAGTCTTACATGTGACGGTAGAGAGAGATTTTCACTGAGCTTTTGTCTATATAGATGAATTCAGTTGCTTTGGATGAGTTTAATTTGACGTGAGTTTAGGTTGTAATCTTTGTTCAATTATATAGATGGATTTGTGACAGTGAAATTGATTTAACCGTCAGACAAGTGACAATTGGTTGTTTAGAGTTCTGATTTTTTGATGAAGTTGTTTTCTAGACAGCGATGGAGAACCATGAATTAGCCAACAGACTATGAGGATTTGTATAGAAGTGTTGGTGATGATTTTCCTGATACCTGCCTATTAGGGGTCAAAAGAACATGTAATAATGAGTGGGGAAGGAGTTGTGTTTGTCAATGGATGCTCAACGAAAGACTTTCTCTGAAGTTGTAAGCATCGTCAAGTCATGGATTTCTTGGCCATCTCAATCTGAGCAGGCAAATGTGTCTAGGGTTTATTGGATGCCCGACAAGATATGTACAGTATGCTACGGGTGTGATTGCCCATTCACCTTATTTAATCGTAGGCACCATTGTCGTCACTGTGGAAAAATTTTCTGCGCCCACTGTGCTGCAAACTCAGTTCCTGCCCCATCTAGCGATCAAAGGAATAGAGTTCGGGTATGTGATTTTTGTTACAAGCAATGGGAGCAGGGCTTAGCTAGTTGTAATTGCACTAATCAGGTCCCAAATCTAGATCATAGTTTTTCACTATCAGTTTCAAGCTTTAGCAGTACTAAATCCATTGTCACTGCTAATAGCAGTAACAATACTGTTTGCTCCCTTCCTGTTTCCATTGGTTATTATCAACCGGGGCAACAAGGTATGAGCCTACATCGATCATCTGTGAAGGTCAAAGGCCTCGATAGGGAAATTTTATCAGCCCTTAGAAGGGATCTTGCGGCAAGCCTAGGGGACTCATCGTTAAACCAATACGAATACTCAATGGAAAGGTATACATTTTCTCTTGAAGTGACGCATGAGGACTCCTCTGCCATATTTTATATTAATATACCTGACATTCTCTAAGTCCAAGTCATTTTTGTCAGAGATATGATTAATTAATCATCCCTTTAGACATTTAGAATAGTCTATTGACTGGATTGAAACAGGTCCTCTAAAGTTAAAAGATTTAAAAATTAATGAAGTTTAGTTTATTTCATAAAGTTTTCTATTGATTTTTTTTTCCCTTTTGATTTTGAGAAACTTACCAAATTTAATGTATTTTCAACTTTAAAAATATTATATAATGAATAATGATCAAATGAGATTGGCCACATCCCACTAGTTGCTCTTGCTTCTAATTTCCCCTCGTAGTTATGATGGTAACAAAGCTGGTTAGAGCCCTTAATCATAGAGACAATTTTTTTGAACAGAAGTTCTCAGAAAATATGCTTTTATCTATCTATCTTTAGGAGTGGTGATGATGAGGATGATTATGCTGTATATCGGTCAGCTTCTGAAATGACGCATTACTCTGAAGTCAGTGGCTACTATGGTCAAGCTGATTTTGATGGAATTAACAACATTGATGGATCACAGATGCATGAAGATCTTCTATGCAACTCTTTAGAGCCGCAATACTTTGACATGCAGGGTTTTGATGGAAGTGAAGCACCTTCTTCTTTATATGTTTCAGCAGACATTGATGCTGAACCTTTAGATTTCGATAATAATGGACTTCTCTGGCTGCCTCCAGAACCGGAAGAAGACGAAGAATATGAACGAGAAATGTTGTTTGACGATGAGGATGATGATTACGGGAATGACATAGGAGAGTGGGGGTATGCACACTCACCAATAAGTAGCTCTGGAAGTGGAGAGTCGTCCCGAAATAGAGATAGGTCATGCGACGAACAGACGACGATGGGCACAAAGAAAGTAGTTGATGAACATTTTAAGGCCCTGGTAGCTCAGCTGTTAGTAGTTGAAAACCTACCAGTTGAAGAAAATGATACCAATAGTTGGTTTGAAATCATCACTTCTCTCTCATGGGAGGCTGCAACATTACTGAAACCAGATACAAGCCATGGTGCGGGAATGGACCCAACTGGATATGTGAAGATCAAACGCATAGCATGCGGCAACCGCAGTGACAGGTAAGTGCTATAATCTGTATGCAGAGACTAACTTAGGAAATATAGAAGCCATTAAGTCCTATCCTGATCCTTTGAATTGGGATGTAGAGCATTAACGATTTTCGCATAAGTAACAATCTCATCGTTTTTATAAATTGTCATTATTATTAAGTCAAAATAAATAAGTGTTGTCTTTCCTAAAATACTCTTGTTAATCATGTACATTAAAATAGAAATCTTTTTAACATACATAATCAGCATGAGGACTACTTTAGAGAAAATAAATAAATGTTGGAAACAAAATATATTAGAGTCTTATATTTAAGACCAAATTGAATATCTAACAAGCTCTTATATTTAGGATTAGAGGTAGTATAACTTTTTATAGCCCTTGCTTCCTATTACTTGACTTGCTTCCTGGATTTCATATTCTCAGTGTGGTGGTTAAAGGAGTTGTTTGTAAGAAAAATGTGGCTCATAGGCGAATGAAATCAAAAGTAGATAAACCTCGTGTGTTGATCCTTGGAGGGGCGCTTGAGTATCAGCGTGTTGCCAATCTCTTGACTAGTGTAGATACCCTATTGCAGCAGGTTGTAATTTCTTACATCATTTTATATTATGTTGATCACTTTCATGAGTTCATGGTACGTGAAAAGTTTGCATTTTTCTTTTCCTCTAGGAAATGGAGCATTTGAAGATGGCAGTGGCAAAAATAGCTGCACAACAACCTGATATCCTTTTGGTAGAGAAATCAGTTTCTAGATATGCACAAGAATATCTTCTTGCACAAGGCATATCATTGGTTCTTAATGTGAAAATGCCACTTCTGGAGCGCATAGCGCGCTGTACGGGAACTCAAATAGCACCTTCAGTTGATCATCTATCATCCCTCAAGTTGGGCTGTTGTGAAACATTTCGAGTGGAAAAGTTTGTTGAAGACCTTGGTAGTGCTGGTCAAGAAGGAAAAAAACCTGCAAAGACGTTAATGTTTTTTGAAGGCTGTCCTGTCCCGTTGGGTTTCACGGTGTGTCCTTTTCTTAAAAATTTTTGTGCATTATCTAATGATTGCTGTCATGTACATCCTTACTTGTAGCTAGTGTTCACCTGGCTCGTGTTGCTTACAGATTTTACTTCGAGGTGCTGATAAGGAAGAACTGAAAAAGGCAAAGCACGCAATAAAGTATGGAGTTTTCGCAGCTTACCATTTGGCTTTGGAGACATCTTTTCTTTCTGATGAAGGAGCCTCGCAGTCAGAATTAGCTTTAAATAGTCTAATACCTGTGCCGGTTCCAGAAAAATCGCCACTGGTTGCCAGGAACATCTCAAGTTTCCTCATTCCTGACAGCGAAAAGTCTCTGGATCCTGAATTTGGCACTGAACTACAGAGAGCCAAAAGTGTCTTGCCTGCTGATCCTAAAGAAACGCTTTTGTCTTATGGTCCTTATCCATCCATGCCACCCGGTTCAACTACCTTTTACCCAAATTCAATGTCCTATTATGAAAAGCCTCTCACAGGTGAAGATATAAACAAAATATCTCTCATGCAGGGAAATTCCGTAGTGAACAGTTCTCTGGAAATTATAGATACTCATCCTCCTCCTTCTCTAAATGACTGTTGGACTTCGGATAAATTTGATCATGGCATCCTCACTGACACACCTCAGAACAGTCACAGCCAAATGTCCAGAAAACTCAGAGCTTTGGAGCTGTCGCCTTTAGAAGTTGCTCGAAGCCATTCCAAAGAGACAGAAGCTGTGAATGAAGAGCAATTACTTGGTGAAGAAGAAGAGTTTCCGCAAGCACCTTCTGATGATGATCAAATTATTTTAGTGTCTATGTCCTCCCGATGCGTATGGAAGGGAACTGTGTGTGAGAGGCCCCGCATTTTTCGTATTGCATACTATCGCAACTTTGACAAACCCTTGGGTCGGTTTTTGCGGGACTATTTATTCGATCAGGTAAGTTCTGTTCTGGAAATATTCCATCTATTTTTATTTTGAGACCCTTCTCATGCTTGGCTTCATTGCATTTCAGAGTTATCAGTGCAACTTCTGTGAAATGCCATCAGAAGCACATGTGCATTCTTATACTCACAGGCAGGGAAACATCACCATATCAGTTAAAAAACTGCCAGAGATTCTCCTACCCGGGGAAAAGGATGGGAAGATCTGGATGTGGCACAGATGCCTGAGGTGTCCAAGAATGAATGGTTTTCCTCCTGCTACACATAGAATAATAATGTCTGATGCTGCTTGGGGTTTATCATTTGGGAAATTTTTGGAACTCAGTTTCTCCAACCATGCTTCAGCAAGCAGGGTGGCCGGCTGCGGTCACTCTTTACATAGAGATTGTCTTCGTTTTTATGGGTGATCTTTTTTCTTCCTCGTATATAAATAAGCAAGCCTCTAGTTGAAGTTTTATGGACATTGCATTGCTCGTTATGCATTATTCTTCCCAAACTTTCATGCTTGTAATCTAGATCCCTAAGATTATTTCGGATGACCAACTTTGGATTGAGTTACTATTAGTTGAATTTATATAAACTGTGACTCAATTATGCAATAGCTACCCTTCTTAAATTCACTTTTTGAAAAGCCTCATAGTTTTGCCTGCCTTTATGAAATTGAGTTTCATTGCGCCTATTCATGAAACAAGAATTTGTTTGGATTTTATATTTACCTGTGGGATTTATTAGTTCACTATGTTCATATTTCTCTTTCAGATTTGGGAGAATGTTTTCTGTTTTTGGAGAATGTAGAATCTGTAGGTTTTTTGGTAGCTTTTATATGGGTTATTTTTGTAGGATTTATTTGTAGATTATGTTCAATTTCTTGCAGATTTGGGAGTATGGTTGCTTGTTTTCGGTATGCATCAATCGAAATTCACTCAGTGTATCTTCCCCCAGTCAAAATGGATTTTGATAGTGGAAATCAAGAGTGGATACAAAAAGAGTCAGATGAGGTTCAATATTATATTCACTGTCTTGAGATGTTAGGTCTTTAAATATGGTTGTTTGATTGCAAACATGATTTGATGTTATAACAGGTGGTTAACCGGGCTGGGCTTTTATTTTCCGAGGTACAAAATGCTCTTAGTCAGATTGAAGACAAAAGAACTAGCTCAACGCCAGTTAATAGTGGACTTGTAACACCTGAATCTGGCCACCAAGTTGCTGAACTGGAGAGCATGTTGCGAAGGGAGAAAGATGAATTTGAGGTGGGTTCCTTGTCTTATAAGACTCATTTTGATTATTTGGTTATTAACACCAAGCTAAATTTAAGTCCTTTCCCTGTAAACATGCATGTTGTTAGAGATACAATTAGTAGCTTAAGATAGTGTCCGTTTGACCATTGAAATTGATCAGACCAGCTTTACCATGTGCCTGGTAAGTGTGAAATTGAAAGAATGAAGGGGAACCAGTGGAAATTGGCTATGTCCAATGCTCTCATCATGTCAGGTTCCTGTCCAGTTTTCCCACCTCTTCCTCCATATCTTTTTTTTTTTTTTTGCTTTCCCCCTTCTCCTCACTCGTGCCTGTTGAGGCTTTTTTCAATCAATACGCGTATACAGTAAAAAAAAAAGGTCTAAATGCTACTCATTGAAAAGTATTTACTAAGATGTTTCAACTCAAAACTGTTAACTATAAGAGCAAGTTTAAATTTGTACACAAATCGTTCACTCTAAGAACGATTTTCATTTTGTGTCAAATGTGGCATCTAAACTTTTAGTCAAAAAAGTGATAATGCCTTTCAAAGTGTAATTTTTAGATTTCTTTTTTTTTTTTTAAACTATATACAGCATATTGATTAAAAAAGCTGCCAATTGATATGTGCTACTTATACTGCATAACTTTTGTAAAACTCAGGGGCAGTTTTACTATTTTCACAAATGAAGCTGCATGTAAATATTATGTGATGGTCTTTCTTTTCATTTCTCGTAGGCAGCACTTCATAAGATATTAAACCAGGAAAAGAGAAAGGGTCAACCTGGGGTTGACATTCTGGAAATTAATCGGTTGCGGAGGCAGTTATTTTTCCAATCATATATGTGGGACCACCGCCTTATCTATGCTGCCAGCTCAGCTAATTTTAGTAACGAGAGTGATTTGAGCAGTTCAAATTCAGATGACAAGGGCAGAACCATGGATGAAAATTTGAAAAGTGGGATGTCCATGCCAGGAGTAGCTTTCAGTAGTGCTGACTGTATTCTTACGGGTTCAAAGCTCATGGAAAGCCCTGACCTGCAAAGAGGAGAACCTGGTAGCAAAATTTCCCAAGCCGATGACATAATTGATCAAGAAATTGACATGACCGGACATGAGAAAGAGGATCATCAATCTGACCCTTCAAATTCAAAACTTGGGTTTGGCATTCGCAGATCTCTCTCTGAGGGCCATTATCAATCCATCATGCCCTGTTTGTCTGATACGCTTGATGCAAAATGGACAGGTGAAGAAGTAATCCCAAAGGATAACATGTCTGTAGCTCTAGATGAGTTCATGGCCGATTCTTTGAGCACAGCTATACAAAGAGATCATGCAGAAGACCACAATGTGCTCAAGAATATGCCCAAAGCACATGATAATATAATGGAAGACTCTTTAAGCTGGCTGGGAATGCCATTCATAAACTTCTATCGCTCATTTAACAAGAACTTGCAAGCCAGTGGCCCAAAGTTCGATACACTAGCTGACTACAACCCTGTTTATGTATCTTCCTTATCCTCCTTCCGGGAGATGGAACTCCAAGGTGAAGCGAGGCTGCTTCTCCCTATTGGTGTTAATGACACTGTAATACCAGTGTTTGATGATGAGCCCTCAAGTATCATATCTTATGCTTTAATGTCACCAGAATATCATGCCCAACTGATTGATGAAGGAGAAAGAACAAAAGATGGAGTTGAATCAATGCCTTCATTGTACTTTCCTGACTCGGCAAATTTCACCTCGTTCCTTTCTTCCGATGAAACAAGTTCTGATTCTCAGAAAAGCTTCTTCTCCACAGATGATTCGTTACCATCTTTTTCTCCACTGGTATGTACAAAGGCTATGCATCCCAGAGTTTCATTTGGAGATGATGGTCCTCATAGTAAGGTCAAATATTCTGTGACTGTTTACTATGCTAAGAAGTTTGATGCCATGAGAAGGATTTGGTGTCCTTCGGAAATTGACTACGTACGCTCCTTGAGTCGCTGTAAAAAATGGCGAGCTCAAGGTGGGAAGAGCAACGTATTCTTTGCGAAAACACTGGACGATCGATTTATCATTAAACAAGTGACCAAAACAGAGCTTGAATCGTTTATTAAATTTGGTCCGGCATACTTTAAGTACCTTACCGATTCAATAGGCTTACCGTGCCCAACATGCTTGGCAAAGATTCTAGGAATATACCAGGTATTTGTATTTCATCCTTGAAGTGTTGTAGCTTCTAAATTATTTGTTTTATGGGCTGAGAAGAAAACCGCCAAAAAAAAGTTTAGTCATGAGATGAAAACTTTAGAAGTTGCCAAACAAGTTAAAATGGCCATGCAATTTTTAAAACGTTTCTCTATAGAACAGATTAATATACGGTAATATCAAAGCAGTCATTCGTCTTTCCTAAAAGCGTGTGTGTGTCAATCATGTTTTGAAGAATTTCTTGTTTACAGATTGCCGAACCTGAATCAGTGAGAGCATTTTATAATTCCCAGTTCAGAACAACTTGTTTTACTTGTGCAAAATTTGATTGTTATTTTGGACGTGAGAATCAAAGCTTTATGCTTTTGACTTGGTTTGAGTGAAATAATAGAACGAAAACATTACTGGGTAAAGGAACCAGTGGAGGGATACTGCAACAAGTCATGTATTTTTCTCTGCTGAATAAAACATAGTAAATTCTCTGTTTACCGGTTGCTTTCTCCTCGAAAGGTTACAGTAAAGCATCCCAAGGGAGGGAAAGAATCAAAGATGGATGTACTGGTTATGGAGAATCTTCTGTTTAGGAAGAACGTGATTCGACTGTATGATCTCAAAGGATCTTCCAGGTCTCGCTATAATTCGGATACTACCGGGACCAACAAAGTTCTGCTGGACCAAAACTTGATTGAATCAATACCAACTTCCCCCATTTTTGTGGGAAATAAAGCCAAAAAATTGTTATCCAGGGCTGTCTGGAATGATACTTCTTTTCTCGCAGTAAGTATCTCTGCTGATGTTCTGTGATGTTCGTTCTGAGTATCTCATGGTGTAGAAACCAACAAAGAAAAGAAGCAAAGTCCATTGTTCCAAAACAACTCAAATATCAGATGTATCAATAAACAAGCGTTTTGCATCATCATCATCTTCTTATGTTCATGTCTTGTTCATGTGCAGAGAGTGGGCGTAATGGACTATTCGTTACTTCTTGGGATAGATCAAGAGCATCATCAATTAGTTGTTGGAATCATTGATTACATGAGACGTTATACATGGGACAAGCATCTGGAAACGTGGGTAAAAGCTTCAGGCATCCTTGGAGGACCCAAAAATGCAGCTCCAACAGTAATATCACCCCATCAATACAAGGAAAGGTTCAGAAAAGCAATGATTGCTTACTTTTACATGCTTCCAGATCAGTGGTCTGTTCCACCTAGCAACTCTGATTTTCATGAAGACAACACACAATCTACTTCAGTTGAATGATTCTTTGATGCTTTTATTCTTTTCTGTTTTTGCTCTCTCTCCTCCCCCCCCCCCCACCCTTTCAAATAATATAGGTTCTTTTTTTAATTTTTAAAGTCGTTAGAAGATGCTAAATAAAGGGAAAAGAGGCTGTTAGAAGCCGCGAGATGTGTTTGTGTGGAGCAAAAATATTTTTGATGAGCCTGTAGATGATATATGTGTACAAAAATATATACATGGTGAATGTAACTCGCATCACACGATGTACATTTTACATACGTCATTCATATATTTCTCAGAATTATTGTACTTAATTGGATAGGTCAGATTTCAAATGTATAAGATCTTCATCATGTTAAATTCTGCTCAGCTTCAAGGCGTTGGTCATCATTTTAACAATGGAACTTTTCTTTCTTTTTTGTTCATTCCTCGTTAGATATAGAGATGGAGGTGGAGATGAAAAAAGAAATTCAGGATTTACATGAATTGGAGCAGAAAGATTCATGGGTTATACCCTATAGATAAAAATTAAGGAGAATTGTTATGAAGTCCTAAGAAAGGAATATAATCACTAAAAAATCCTAATGATGATTAACCAGTTTACAGTGACAAGTTAGGAAGTAACAAATGCTCACTTGTCATTAGGAAAAATGCTAACTTGTCATTAGGATGTACTGGTAATTTTTTTTTCCCCTTTAGACCTCATTATAATTTTCACTAAAAATGATATATTTTAGAGTGTAAAAAAATTTCTAGACTACATTGACATGTTATATTATGATTAATTAAAAATTCATAAATAAATTTTAACTAAAAGAATTAATGCTAAAAATATACAAAAAAATTGCACTCGCGCTAAGTCCACCAACCAAACAAATTATAAATACATTTCACTTCACAATCAGAATTAATTCGCCAACAAAATTTGGAACATTTCGTCAAAAGTACCGAGTGCATTGTCTTCAATCTTTTTGTACGCATGTACCCATTCCTTCTCAGCCTCTGAGATTCATTTTTGCTTTTGAAAAAAGTGTATCTAAGAATCAAAATTTGACAAAATTTAATTAACAAAATAAAAATTAAATATCTTAACAGTGATTTTCATAGAATTTAATATAATAAAATTTGGTCATTAAAAATAATAAAATTATTATAATTTTTAAGTTTTTTTAATCTGGATTTTAAGAAATAATTTGTCTTGTTTGTACTTGGTAGCAACTGTGGAGGTTGAAATGATGGTGACTTCTTGGTTTGTAGTCTTATAATTTGTGGTTCTAAATCACCTATGCATCCAAACAAATTAATTGCTCTATGATTAGGAAGTCATTACCAATTTTTTAATATCCCCTTTCTAATTGTTGTTCCTTTTTCTATTTTTGATATATATGTTGTTCTAATCCCATTTATAAGGCGGACTGAGAAGAAATCTTGTAGTCATCATTATAAAACATGTCATTAATTTTTTTTTAATTACTAGTTTCTCTTTTTACCCCTTATTCAATGTTGGTGTATATTATTTAATTTTCAAATCATGTATATTTAATAGGAATAAAATTAGAAACATGTTAGACTTATAGGTAGAGTTCATAAGTTATGAAGGTTTTTCTTGATCCTTATAAAATACATTAAATGTGACTTATAAATATAATAGAAACAATAAATAATACATGTGGTCCTTAATATAAAAATTAGATAACTACTTTGTGAATATTAAAAAAATACGTTAAATTAATTATTTATGATGAATGGGCGTTGTTTTTCATAAAATAGCCTTGTTAATTATCTGTATTGAAACTAACTTTGAAGAAAATTTCTTAACATATGTAATCAGTATAAGAATTAATTAAGAACAAAATGAATAAATAGTTAAAAAAAAGATTGAGCTTAGACAAATAAGGATTGTATTTTGATTTTTGAGTGAATTAAGAAAACTAGCACAATGATGTACTTCACAAACAAATTCACCAAAAAGTTAAACAATGAAAACAGATTTTGAAGTAAATATAATTCATAAAATAACTATTCTGATCAATTATAGACCAACAATATGTAAATATACCATAGGCATATATCTACCCTTAGTAGACATTTGATTTGTGAAGTGAGGATGGGCGTTAGGTCAGATTTCAGTGGCAGTGAAGTTGTTGTTGAAGTGTTGGTGAAGGCAGAGACGTTGGAGTGAAGGGTTGAATGTTTCTTCGCCTTTAACAATCTGAAGTAAGCTTTGTTGAAGCAGAAGACTCATTATTTCAACATCTCTGAAACAGATGTAGTACATATTTAATTAAACTATAATTTAGATATGTGTGTGTGTGAGATATTTAAAAGTCCAAAAATTGGAGGGGATTTCTAGGTTGAATATTTGAATATAATGCATGGGATATTGTTTGAACCTTGGATGATAGGTTGGTGTTGTTGGAATTCGTGGAAGTCGAGGCCCTTCATCGTATCCTTCACAAATGATCTCTCCACTGCTCTCATCTTTGTAGCAAACTATTCCCTCTGTTTCATCCTCATATACCTGTTCATTGAGATGAGTAACTACCAATATATATATATACTGTATACATATAGAGAGAGAGAGAGAGACCTTGCTGTTGATGGAGGCTGAGATTCTGAGTAATGGAGGAGGGGCCTTCCTCATCAAAGGCAAAGGGACATGGAATCTCTGCTTGCGATATTGGAAATGAAAGCGCCCAGATTTCTGAATAACTAGGGTTTGAGATGAAGCACAATTGAGAGCCATGAAGAAATTGCAAGAGGAAGAGAAGGAGGAGGAAGAAGAGGAAGACAATGGCTTAATTTTGGTGAACAAGGGTATGACTGTACTATTATATAGTACAATGCAATGATCAGGTCGCCTCTTATTTATGTCAAGCATTGTGGGTTTTCTGGCTAGGCTTCCATCCTATCTTTAATTTAAGATAAAATCCTGCTGATAATCATTTTGTATATAATAAAGACCCACTTAGAGTGGCTTATAAACAGCTCTTGAATCGTGATTTACAGAATGAGGTAAATGTGTAAAGAGAATTTTTTCTCAATTTAAATTAAAATCTTTATAAGCACCGGTCACAAGTAGGTTTAAACAGACCCACCCTAAGAATACCGAGAATGATATTTAAATCTTAAAATATCAATTTAATAATGGTTAAATTTATTTAAAAAATTACTGAAGAATCCAGTTGTAATTATAAAAATATCAATTACAAACCAAGCATTTAAAATACTACTCCCTCCGTTCCTTATTATAAGAAACATTTGATGCTTATGACATGTTCCTATATATAAGAGACACTTAAAGGTTGTTTCTATTTTCTTATGTTGATTTTCTATTTTACCCATATTTATTGTCTCCAACTCACACTCTTTTTCCTTCCCACTTCTCTTTCTTTGAATAATTTATCATTATTCTCTCTCATGCTCTCTCTCCTTATTAATGAGGGTCTTTTTGGGAAAAAAATTATACCTTTTACACATTAATTGTTCTTAACTAATTTTAACTATTTTTTTGATCAACGTAATTCGGTTATTCGTCTCTTATAATAAAGAACAGAGGGAGTATTACACATCACTCTTAAATTATTTGTAATTAGGACTCTCAGATACGTAACCATCTAAATTCATATTTACAATTTATCTTAGTTAAATAAAATTTTTAAAACCTAATATTGTGAATAGGATTAGGTGGCCGGCCATAACATTGGTGTAGAATGTACGTACATTACGGTAATATAAAATCCGACACACAGATGCTAAGCAGTACTATAATGTACATATGTAACATGGATTAGTCCAAAACATGTTTAGTTAATTGTGCCAAGCCAATAACAGAATCACCAGTAAAAATTAAATTCAATATATTATTGGGAGTGAAATGCTGAGTCATACATGTTAGGTTGTGTGCTCCCCATTTTAATTGGTTGCTCTGTCAATTCGCCACCACGCCATAAAAGTGTTTCTATTATTTTTTATTATCAATTTCATATTTTCAATGATTAATAGGGGCATTTCTGATAATACCGAAATGTCGGTGGGCCTTAGGTTGTAATTAAATACAACCTCCATAAACATAATACTACTTGGAATCTCATGTGTAAGATTTATTTTGTACTACTGCTGGTCAAAAAAAAAAAAGAGATTTATTTTGTACTACAAATTAAAATTTATATTTAGGATAAGATATGGTATATAGTTACAGGAAATCAATAAAAAATGGCTGGAAACGGCGTAAACCTTTGAAAAAGTCAGAATAGTATATGCTGGCGTCTTTTATTATCCTCAATAACTCAACATTGGTGGCATAGATACTCTTTTATAAATAGGAGGTGGCAGGTTGGATTTCAAAACCCCAAAAATTAATCACCATCTCCGGTTCTTAATATAAGAGTCTGGTTGACTAATTTAAATAAATTAAAAAAAATTAGTTAGATTAGTTATTTATAATAAATATATATTGTCTTCTTTAAAATATCTTTACATAATACTCCTCCGGTCTTTAATATAAGACCCATTTAACTAATTTGATTAGATTAAGAAAGTTAGGTAAGTTAGTTAATTATAAGAAAAGTGACAGATTTTTCCTAAAACACCATAATCATCTTTTTTAATACCCTTCTCCCTCTTCTATTTGATTATGGTTAAGGGAGTATCTATAAGGGTAATTTAGAAAAAATTGATAAATATGAGAAATGGATCTTATATTTAAGACCAAAACCAACTTAAGAATTGGGTCCTATATTAAGGACCGAAAGAGTACTTTAGATGAACCACACCCTACAAAATAGTCATTCGAGTTTAAGAGCCTAATACCTTATAAGGCCTCTTTTTCAAAAATAGTTAGTGTCCACCCCTTTTAATGTGCTTATAATCTCCAAATATAAGATTCATGATACGTGCTTATAATCTCAAATACTCCTCCGGTCTTTAATATAAGACCTATTTAACTAATTTGATTAAATTAAGAAAGTTAGGTAAGTTAGTTAATTATAATAAATATGACATGTTTTTTCTAAAACACCATAATCATCTTTCTTAATACCCTCTCTCCCCCTTCTACTTGATTATGGTTGAGGGAGTATTCATAGGGGTAATTTAGAGAACATTGATAAATATGAGAAGTGGATATTATATTTAGGACCAAAACTAACTTAATAATTGGGTCTTATATTAAGGATCGGAGGAGTAGTTAGTATCCACCTTTTTTTTCAAAAAAAAAAAAAGGGGGCGTTAGAAGGCCATGATTTATAAAAATATATCATTAATGTCTGTTCCGTAGTACTAAAATTTTCAGTAAAGGGAGGACATGGTGTGAGGGACGGATACAGTCATGTGAGAGAAGAAAGGGTATCCCAAGTTCACAACCAAACACCTTTACTGACATTACTTACCGTCCGAGTTGAAAGCTCTTCGGTTGCTTTTTAACCTTTTATCCAGGGGTGTTCAGATCAGAACCGGTGAACAGGAATGGGACAGGAATTTCATCTTATATCCCGTCCTGTCCTGGTATTGTCCCGATCCTATCGAAACCAGGACGTTTTGCTTTTTTTTTTTAAAAAAAAAAATACTATAGTTTTTTATATGAATTTTTTTATGTTATAATACTTATTTTTTATTGGGCTTCTAAAGAAAAAACATTATAAAAAAAAATTACGTAGAAAGCTCAATTATATAACATAAAAAAGGCGTAAAAATAATGATATTATGAATTATTTTATTGAGAAAAAAGATTTTGTTGAGATAATACTACAATTTAAGAGTTACAAATCACTATAAAAAATAAGAGTTATTATTAATAATTAAATTAAATAATCTAATAATAATTATTAATAAATAATTTTTAAAAGAAAAAAATCCTGTCCCGATTATTGTCTCGTCCTGTTTTTGTCCCGTCCCGAATTTTTTTTTGTCCTGTCCCGTCCCGAACTCACCGGGACCGGGACCGGATGATCAGGATGAGACAAATTGAACACCCCTACTTTTATCCCAAACACCAAAGCAAAGCAAGATTTCTGAGGCTAGAGAAATTTAATTTGATGTAATAATACCAAATACTCCTCTGATACTTAGTGTGTATAAGGGTTTTTATATTTAAAACTGGAAGTGGAGGAGTATCATATAATCACCCATTTATTACTAGTTATAATGTTTATAAGTTATGAATAAAATACAAGTCATTTTTTAAAACAATTTCTAATACAAAATACGTTTGATACCTTAAAATTTGTAATAAATCACAAAGACTATTGCTTACTTATAATAATACTGTGTAGAGTATAATGAAATACGTGCTGAGAGTGGAAACTCACAAAATACAAACCCATCCATCTGGAAATTCAAAGGAATGGCAGAGTCACGTGACCGAGTGGCAGGGTCACGTGATATGGGGCTGAAGCAAAAGCATACGCCAGACTGATGACTACCTGAGACGGCAGTGGGTCAATGGAAAAGAGAGTTTTGACTGAGAGTGATTGTCCCCATATTTTACGGCTCTATTTTTAGGATGCATGACTCCTAATTAATCTTAACTCCGAATAAAATGATATCTTTAATTTTTAATTTAGATAATAAAAATATCATTTGACGGCAGTGAATGACATCATCAATTTTGCTATTAATGAATGATTAGTGATTTCAATGTTTTTGTTCATTTTCAAAATCAGTGAAGAAAGAACCTCATAAAAAGAACTTGAAGATTATTAAATCACACCTTAAGATTATTGTTTCTTACACTTTAATAGGTTTGACTATACTTCACCTGTAAATAATAACATATTTTTGTAAGAATTTTTAATTTAAAATTTAATATATATTTTTTTTGGTAGGATTTTCTCGTTAGCGAATGTGCCAATTATATTGGATCAAGGGGTATAGGAATATGGGAATATAACTGTTTACTCTGACTGTGTAGACACCACCAACCTGCTTGTTAGGAAGGTGTCATGGAATCATCGATGATATTAGACTACTCATTCTTAGAAATTGGCGTGTTTTGTTTTGCCACAAATTCAGAGAGAAACCTGCAAAAGCTGATTCTCCAGCCAAATTTTCCTATAACATGGAGGCTCATTTTTATATCTTTAATCAACCCTACATGTTAGATAAGAGATGAAGATCAATAAAGGAGACTATCAGTGTTTGGATGGAAACCAAACTAGAGTTTCAGAAGCGATTTTATGATCTATGAGGTAAATATGTGGAGGACTTTATCTTGATTTGCGAAAAAGTACTTTTAAGAAGTACTTTTCAGGATATCCAAACACTCCCTATATGCCATACAGATCGTGATTATTTATGAAAGTGTAAAATATATTACACACAATTTTAAAAAAAAGTACAATCATCATTAAATACATTTAAATTTAGGTATTCAAACCATGGTTTATTATGTTGTGAGGAAAATTTTAAGAAAGTTGGTTACTACTATTTTTAAAAAAAATTTAATTAGCTAAAAAGATTTAAATTTGAACGAGTGTAACTATACTCCACGATTATAACTTCTCTTCCGTTGTGTACTATATATTATCAATAATGTACAATAATAATTAATATAGAAGTCATTTAAACACAACAAAAAATATATTACACACAACCACAAAAAAGTACAATCATAATTACATATACTCAAATTTAGAGGTTTTTAGCCGGTTAAGTTTTCGAACACAAATTTTTTACCCAACTTTCCGAAACTCTATCTTGTCTTATATAAAATAATGAATTTCAGCATTTATTAAAAGGAAAAAAAACTCTGGGCACGGAAACAATGAAGGCCTAGCTCACCCTAAGCTATCCGTACCAGCATTGCCAGAGAGGGAGGGGGAGTGGGAGGAAACAAACCGTACAATGTTTTGTTACTAGCAGATATAAGCTAGATAGGTTCAT